GAAGATAGAACATGTTCGGGCGGTAGGAAGGTTTCAAGCATTATTTTCTGATATCAAGGGAAATGCGACGGCTATTCTTCGAGGTGAGACGGGTCCGCCAATGACATATATGTGGTATATGCCGAATGCTGATGATACTACACAAAAGACATTGATTGCAGAATGGGGACCGACAAAAGGATGGAACCTCTATGGTGACAATTTGACACACGTTGAGCCCGATATTAACCAGGTGCAGTTTCTTCAGACACTACGGTGCCCGAATCATTGACGGGGCGGTAGGGCTGCGACAGAGACCGTTGTCGCAACCTGGAATGTGCAGAAAATATCCGACGGTCAAGTACCCAACCTGGTCGCTGCATGTGAAGCCAGGTCAATTCAAATGGTGTGTCTGCAAGAGTGTGAGCATACCAGTGCAAATACTTTTAATAGATGTGGATGGGAGATTCACTATAGCTCCTGCTCCAAGGCGGCGGTTGCATGGTGCAGGGATTGGGCACCACATGTGATTGCACGACGGAGTGGGGTACGATTTGCGTGTGTCGAATTCAGGGGTGCTCTAGTTACATCAGTGTATCTACCATGCGTGATGCGTGATGTTGACCACTTGGGGGAATACTTAGATGTACTTACGAAGTGCAGTGTTACTATGTTTCAAACTACACAGGCTGGAGTCATACCATGGGTGGGGATGGATGCTCAGACGGAACTTGAACCTGATATGCTGGGAATGACGGGAGGAGGTCTTATGCAGGTGGACGGGAGGAGGGAGGAGGCGAACTACCATGCAGAGGGGAGGGATATGCTTATGAGGTTCATGAGTACTTGGGGGATCTGTGCGGCGAACACATATGGAGATCGACGTATCACACATATACCGTACTGTTCCACACATGTGCAGCGTGTGCTTGACTATATTCTCATCCCTACACGTTGGTGCGCGGATGAGGCAAGAGGTCACCAGGAAATGAGATGCCAGGTCCAGTTTGTGGAACCCATCAAAGCTACGCCAGGTATACGTGCAAAAGCCAGTGCCTATAGTGATCACGCTCTGGTCTGGGTAAATCTCAAGACCGCGGAGATCAGGCGCCCAGCTTTGCCACCCCGCCCTGTGTCCATGGTTGGCTGGCAGCCGACGGATGACACGGCGAGGAACATCTTTCGTGTGCTTGCGGATGTGTCGATTGAGGGGCTTGCATCTGACACGGTAGGGACGGACCTGCAGCAGGTCGGACGGGTACTCTTGGAGACGGCAAAGCTTGTGGACCACACTAAGGGGCGCCCCAACTGCAAACCTATTCAGAGGCCCAGGGAGCTCATAGAGGTGGAGTCTGCCATCAGGCGTGGGGCCCTTTGGAATACTCGTAAACAACTGCTGCGTAGGAGGAAGACCCTGAGGAGACAGCATAGGAGGAACCAACTCCTGCAGGACCACAAGGGATCCAGTAAGACCTCACGGTGTATCCTCAAGGAGCTGGAGTGTGAGGGTGTGCTGACAATGGACAGGACTAGGTGGAGTACGGAGATCACTAGGTATGCGACGGCGTCTTACACGAACTCGGAGGAGGAAAAACGGACTTTGGAGGCCTTTCAGGAACTCAGACACAACGACCGTGGGGTGGAGGGAAGAGTCATCACGATGGGCATGCTCATGCAGGCTCGTGCGTCTTTGAAGCCTGGCACGGCACCCGGTAGCGATGGAGTCGTTGCTGAGGTCATTCGTGAGTTACCGTGGAGGAGCCTCTTGTTTGTGCGGCGTGCTTTCCAGAGGATTTTCGAGCAGGGAGCCTCCAGCCCTGAGACGTGGAGGAAGCTCAGTATCCAACTTGTGCCGAAGATGCGGGATGCTACACGACTCTCCAACACCAGAGGGATTTGCCTGATCAGTGTGATGAGTAAATGGTACATGGCATGTGTGTTGCAGTTTATTGGTGCATTTCCTGTGAACCGACGGTTGT